GGTTCAGGCAATTCTCCTGCCTCAGCCTCCTGAGTAGCTGGGATTACAGGCACGCGCCACCATGCCCAGCTAATGTTTTGTATTTTTAGTAGAGACGGGGTTTCACCATTTTGACCAGGATGGTCTCGATCTCTTGACCTCGTGATCCACCCGCCTCGGCCTCCCAAAGTGCTGGGATTACAGGCGTGAGCCACCGCGCCCGGCCCAAGTTTTTTATTTTTATTTTTATTTTTAGAGACAGGGTCTTACTCTGTCACCCAGACTGGAATGCAGTGACCTGATAACAGCTCACAGTAACTGTAAACTCCCAGGTTCAAGAGATCCTCCCACCTCAGTCTCCCAAGTAGCTGAGACTACAGGGGCACACCACCACTCCTGGTTAATTAAAAAAATCTTTTTGGGGGCTGGGAGCAGTGGCTCACTTTGGGAAGCCGAGACGGGTGGATCACGAGGTCAGGAGATAGAGACCATCCTGGCTAACATGGTAAAACCCCGTCTCTACTAAAAATACAATAAATTAGCCGGATGTGGTGGCACGTACCTGTAGTCCAAGCCGCTTGGGAGGGTGAGGCAGAAGAATCGCTTGAACCCAGGAGGCGGAGGTTGCAGTGAGCCCAGATCGTGCCACTGTACTCCAGCCTAGATAACAGAGAGGGACTCTCAAATTAAAAAAAAAAATTCTTTTTTGTAGAGACGAAGTCTCCCTATGTTGCCAGACTGGTCTCAAATTCCTGGTCTCAAACAGTCTTCCCTCTTTGGCCTCCCAAAGTGTTAGGAACAGGCATGAGCCTGGCCTTGTTTTTCAGACTTTTAAAAAAAAAGTATTTGTTTTTTGTTTGTTTGTTTTGTTTTTTTAGTTGCTGTCCATAAGTTTATTGTCTTTTTTTTTTGAGACGGAGTTTCGCTCTTGCTACCCAGGCTGGAGTGCAATGGCACGATCTCGGCTTACCGCAACCTCCGCCTCCTGAGTTCAGGCAATTCTCCTGCCTCAGCCTCCTGAGTAGCTGGGACTACAGACACGCGCCACCATGCCCAGCTAATTTTTTTGTAGTTTTAGTAGAGACGGGGCTTCACCATGTTGACCAGGATGGTCTCGATCTCTTGACCTTGTGATCCACCCGCCTCGGCCTCCCAAAGTGCTGGGATTACAGGCTTGAGCCACCGCGCCCGGCCCAGTTTATTGTCTTTATCTGAAAAATCCTTATAGAAAGTTGTTTAGTTTAGCTCTCAGCAGCCTGCTCCTGAGCTCTGAGGAAGCTTGCCTTCTTTTGAGCTACCTGATCTTTCTTCTGAGCAAGGGACATTTTGGGGCAGTTCCACCTCTTCTTTTTAACTTCTTTCTTGGGCTTCTTTTCATAGACTG